CCGCCGCCCCGCTGCCCCGTCGCCCGAGCTCGACTCCGCCTCCGCCCGAGTTCGCAGACCAGTGCCTATTTTGAAGGTTTGAAGGCCGGGGCGCAGATCAATGCCCTCAAACCAACCCTCAAAACAGAATAAAGATTTTCGGTCTTCAAAACGACATTTTCTCAGCCCTCAAACTTGTTTTGAAGGTTGAGTTTGTGAGGGCTCTGTTAGACATGCTCTTAGCCCGGTTAAAAAAGAAAACTTTACTAACAAAATTGCATCATGGCATTACACATGGCGCTCATAAGTACACACATAATCATGACAGATCATAAGTACGAACATAATCATGACAACACAAATTCAACCTCACGCTTCTTGGTCGGAATCTTGAGATTCGTATCAATGCTGTCTGCATCCACTGCTCAAGAATTTTTTGCACACCTGTAGCAGCCACGTCACCACGAGAACGGGCATGCAAAATTCTTCACGATAATGCCTCGCAGACATCACCATCCGAACCCCAGCTGTGCCGAAAGCTACCCCCGCGCAAACGACCTGTACGGCCGTCCACCGTCAAAGCCAAACACCAAACACCGGCGTCCACCAATGAGCTACCGGGCGCTGGTGCCCCGTCTCCCTGCCCGCTGTCGGTCCACGCGCTAATCCCAACGGGATTACGGGCGACCTGTGCTTCGTATGCGGCCAGTCGAGATGGCCGCAACGTGGTCGACTACTACCTGAACACGATCCGTTCCGGTTACTTCTAATCCCATATTCCCATTTCCACACAAGACACAACACCTGTTTAAACTAATCCACTTCCGCCTCCACCTCCGCTTCGGGTTCCACTTCCGCTCGTAGCTTCAGCCTTCAGATCTCCGCTTGCATCTCAGTCTAGCCAGGGGGAGAGAGATGAGCGAAGCGGAGGCGCCTCTCATCACCGAGGAGGCGGCGGAGCGCGGCCTGGCGTCCTCCGGCAGTCGCCGCCTCAGCGACGGGGCCGGCGGGCAGGGCTCCAGGAAGTACCGCAGGCGGTCGGACGCGCTAGCCCATGGCGACCGTTACCAGAAGGCGGCCGCTCTCGTCGACCTCGTCGGTTCCCACTCCCAGTCCACCTCTCTTGGCTCTCTCTCGCTCTGCTGGTCCTCTGCTCCACTTTGCCCTGTTTCGCCGAGCGTAGCTGTTTACTGTAGAGTATAACTGGGACTTGAGACGCTCTAGCCTCGAGGGGCTTGTGTTGTTGGTTGTTGTGGCCGGCAACTGTGAGTGTGGTGGCGTAGGACTGGTGTTTGATGGATTGTCGGCCCTAGCTTAGCATGCTGATCTGGTGCCGAGGTCCACGTGGCCGCCGCTGTCGTGCGGAGATGGTTAGGAAGTTTTTTTTGGGTCTAGGTCTCGGCTGGTTCGTGTGTGTTAGATGCTTATTGTCTATCTGATGAAGTGCCAAAACATGTTACGAGTTGATCCAATATTTTACATTATGGAATTTGACATTCTATTCGAACTTATACAATGAAATAATATTAGTCATATTGCAGAGACATCCTTACACCAAGGGCCTTGAAACAGTAAGTCCCATTTTCTCTTGCAAGGAAATCAGGGTAACTGAATCTTAGCTAGGCTGCACTTATCAGACTATGTTGGATAACCTTTCTTTCGGGAAGAATATTTGTTGGAGCTTCTATGGTGATATAAAACGTACTGTTCATCTGTTAATTTTTTTTGCATCTTTTGACTTACTCGAAAGTCTAATTAGTAATTACAATTACTTTGGCAGGCAGAAGATGGTGTTGGTATCCCTGAGGATGTCTTGAATGATACGAGGTTCGGGAGGGCAATGAGTTTCTATTTTGTGTATCTCCGGTTGGACTGGCTGTGGTCACTTAACCTGTTTGCTTTGATTCTTTTGAATTTTCTCGAGGTTAGTTCTTTTCTTTCTTTCTTACAGTCACGAGGTTAGTTCTTAGAAAGTGGGATCTGTATATTATTTTGTATAGGTTCTTTAGGTCAAGATTGGTGTTGTATTATTCTAACAGTGACCAGGCATCTTAAGTGCGGAAACTTTCCATGGTCAAAATAAAGAACAAATTAGGCACAGTCTCATGATTCCCATATGGTATTGATGTGAGTTCTGTCGCTTGCATTTCAGAAGCCTCTATGGTGCCGGAAAGATGCTCTACAGGCTTGTGATCAAAGGGATCTTTACTTTCTCGGGCAGTTGCCATACTTCAGCAAAACTGAATCACTCATCTACGAGGTACGGCTTTATTCATAAGGGTAGTACTTCTATGCTCCGTCCAAACCTTAATTACAGAAATCTTAAAGCAGGTCAATATTAGATTAGTAAGTCAAGCCCTCAAGTTGCTTTGAGAATTGCACTTCCACTTTTATGGAGAATATCAATGCAACCTGAAAATAAGTGAAATGAACTTGGCCGCTAAAAAATCTGTTGAATTTTGAGATGTGTTGCAGAATTAGTTGCATCAGGTCATATGTATTTTAGTGGATTCAGCTACCTGAATTCTGTTATCCTCGAATTTGTATGATTGGAGCTATCCTATCATAATATGAAATGTGCATATCTTGATCCAAAAGCATGTAGTGACCTATATGGAGAACTGAAAACCTGAATCTGATGTATTGATCTGTAAATGGTTCTTTTTAAATTTCAGGGGCTTACACTTGTTATTCTTGTAATGGATATCTTTTGTCCACTTTCTTATGAAGGCCTAAATATTTTCTGGAGGAGCACCACGAATAAGTTGAAGGTAACAATTCTGTCTTCTCGGAAGCACATAATTTTCCAGTACATCTCTGCAAATATCAGATAACATAGAAAACCTAATAATTCACAGGAGTTGGCTTAGTGAATGTTGTTTCGATGCACTGTGAAAGATGCATGGCAAATAGAGGTCAATAAATTGCTTTTATATAGGCCCAAGTTTAGATTACTGCAGAAATAATGGGAGATGGGAAAACTTTCTGACAAAATGACACTGAACATTTCTGGCTGTTCTTCCTTATAATACAGTGAGGAACAAGGAAAAATAGTTACTACTTATTAGACACAATAAGTTGGAGTATATGTTGTTGACTGAGTGAAGATTTCATTAGGAAACTATGTGTTGGTAAACATGAGCTGAAGTTCAAATTTTAATTGGGCTTTCCCTTTTTTGTACATTAATTATATTATTTTGCATGCACACTTCTCACAGTTTAGGTCCTTTCATATTTTGACAGTCTATTTTCAAACTTGAATTTTATTAGACTACCTTGCTGTGTTAGATGTGTGATTTTGCTTTCTAGTTCACTATGGCTTACCCATTTTTCTGCTCTACCTGTAGATTCTTCTTCTCTTCATCTTAGCATGTGACATACTGGTGTTTGCCTTTAGTTCCCAACCTTTCAGATTAGCTCCATACATCCGCGTAGTGTTTCTAATCATGACTATCAGGTATGCAGTGTTTTGTTTGTTCCAGACTGCTGGTACCTTACTGAACACAGTGAGAAGGTCCTATCTTAATATATTGATAATTAATATGTGTGTTTGTGGGGGTTGGGGGGCGATTCTCCTCGTATACCACATAGATAAACCGGCTATACCTCTTTGTCATTTCCATACACTTCATTAATAAATACTAGATACCCCAAAGTGAGTTCTACAAAAAAAAAATCCATTTGAGTTCATATATGTTATAATAGTTATATTATTTGCATACTGTTTTCTTTACATAAGAAAGGTATATTGCATAAACTAAGGAATCCAATGATATATTTTCATAACACTTGTATTGATGTATCTAAGAATAATTAATGAGCTATACTTTTAATGATAATTGATACATTGTTATAATAGATACGTATACATGCACGCGCGCGCGCACCACACACACACACACACAGAGGATGCACCTAAAGCTGGTGCGTATGCTAAAGTGCTTCTGTATACAATAAAGGACAAAAAATGTAAATTTGATTGTGAGCTTAGATATATACTGATTTTTATCCAACAAATGTCATATGCTATGGGTTTAACAGATAGATTAACGTGTTCTTCTGTCTGCAATAGGGAACTGCGAATGTGTGCTATCACACTGGCCGGTCTTATTGGGACATACCTCAATGTTTTGGTAAGGTTATATCTATACACAAAATTCTACATGCCTATGCATTGTAAGACGTGCAAGGATTAACAAATTCACTCCAGGACAAGTCATTACAAATTTTATCCATTGAAGTCATGAGGATCTTTCATTAATTATGATCAATGTATGGAGTAAAGGGTATGTGGCACATGCAGTTGAGTTGTGTGGTGGACACAGGGTGGGTGGTTAATTCCACATCTTTGCTTGTAGTGCTTTACTGTGGCAAATATAATTTTCAATTATACCTCTTCTGGTCTAATATAGAGATACCAACAGCTAATATGTTCATCTCTTAGACTCTTATGTCTATTTACTTTAACATAACGATTCCTGTGCTTCTGCATGTTCACCTTAATGTTTGCAACCCATTATCTGTTCACTTTGATGTATAACCTTAGACCGTCTATGTCATGTAGGCTCTCTCTCTGTTGTTCCTCTTATTTGCAAGCTGGCTAGCTTATGTAACATTTGAGGATACTCCACAAGGGAAGACCATTTTTTCATCATATGGTGTAACGCTGTATCAGATGTTTGTCCTCTTCACCACCTCCAATAATCCTGATGTATGGGTGCCTGCTTACAAGTAAGATGGTTATCAATATTTCTGATGTGTTTATGATAATGGCAGTCGACACACATGCAAGTTCACCATACATATTTTGGAGCAGGATATCCCGCTGGTATTCCCTATTTTTCATCGTCTACGTGCTTTTGGGAGTTTACTTCCTGACAAATTTGATTCTTGCTGTCATCTATGATAGCTTTAAGGAGCAGGTACATTTTTACTTGTGTCCTATCTCTTCGCTTTTACTATACTCTTTACTTCTGAATCTTGTGTGTTCTTCTGCCTAATAGTAAATACAACAATAACATGGCATTCATTTGGTGATACAGTTCGCAAAGCAACTTGTTCAGGTGGACTCTATCAGGAAAAATATATTACAGAAGGCATTTGATCTTATTGATACCAACGTGAGTGTTCTGTTGTTATGTTTTCTTGGACACTGATGTACTATATTTTAGCAAATGTATTTTGGTAAACTTCCTATATAATTTAGAATGGCTGGTGGTGTTCAAGTAACCCTTTGCCAGAATATAGTTAAATCACTTGAATCGTCAGTTTTGAGAATCCAACTAGGAGAAGTTCCTGGGGTTCCACCCAATTACGTTA